AACAAGGCATGACAACTTTCATGCGCTGTTTGACAGGCAGCATCGTGGCGTACATACAAATGGTCTGTTTAAGAGCCAGATTGTTTTGTTTTTTTTCCCGCCGCAGAGCTAAAGATCCAGCACATATCAGCCCTGCACGCAGCGTTAGTCTGCCTCAGTTCTGAGGGGGACTGTCTGAAGAAGTCATTTTCAACACATGAAGCGTTGGATAACAAGAAAAGCAAAGATAGCGTTTGACAGAGGCTTTGTGTTATGTCACTGACAAACTGCCACAGGGAAGGGAAAAATCAGTCAGAGAGGAGTTTATACAACCCACTGTGTGTTTGTGTCGAGAGAAGACGAGGACACATGGGCTTGGAGGAGGGAGACTTGTCTGTCAACATAACTGCATCATCATCATCTACTGCCCAGACTGGCCACAGCTACCCGATGACAGAAGCCAGTGTCTGCCATCCTTCCAGAGAGGCTGCAATCAGCCAGTCAGTGTGGAATTAACTTCCAATGGTCTCGGTCTCAGAGTTCAGCTTGAGGCTGCAACAGTTTCACACTTATTCAACATTTGAGGGAATTTAGTTTCATTTAACTAGAGTATGTATCCTTTCTGAAAACATTTTGTCACATAAAACTCATCAGGAAACAATTAAAATCATATTTTTTCACTCAGAAAATAAACTATTCGGCATCTTGCCCACCCTGCAACCTCTGCAGCTGTTTGACCATGTGACCAGCAAGTCATTTTAGTGATATTCCATGTTTTTCTTAACGAATCCCATAAAAAGACCAAAGCTAATCACTGGCATTTCTGTATCATTAAAGCTCCATTGTTCAGTGAGCCACACTTTTGCACTGGGTGAAATATTCCCTCATTACCATGCACACACTCTCTGTAGTTTATTTTCTCACAGTCCCACACACACATATGTCCTGCTGCCAGAAATGCTCACTACAATACCAAATGTGGATTAATCTGCCACTGAAAATAGTCCCCAACAAATGCACCATTTCATCCTGTTAAAAGGTCTCATATAGTAGCCTATAAAGGTGAATGTCCATGTGTTGTTGGATTATAAAGCAGATCTAGGTTCTATATTAATACTGTGAAAGTATCAAAGCGCTCAGTCCACAGAGAAATGCACACAGCCTTAATCAGTGGTAATCGAGAGGGTCCGGAGAATTCCCGGTGGGTTAGCTGTTAGCGTTTCAGGGCCGGACTGATTATTGTGTAGGCTAACAATATTGCATTATATAACAGTAGGCTACCTTTCTGCACCATCTGGCCTTCTTAAACAATGCGCTCGCAGCCCCTTTCCTCTCCCAGCGCGCGAGCAACAAACAAGTCTACATCTGAAGTAGGGGGGGTAAGTGAGCGGCCCCTCCTCAAGTGGTACGACCCCGGTGTGCCTTGAATAACAATTGGTCAGCTAATGAGCCAATAATAGCTACGAACTCTTCTTCAGGCTTGTACAGAGTTGTCAGAGACGTGTCGGGAACATGTGTGTTCACTGTTCACATTAGGAAGCAGCAGAAACAGAAAGGGGAAAGGCTGAGCAGAGAGGGCGAGAATTAAAAAGAAAAAACACTAGAGTAGGAAGCAGCAAAATGTTCCAAAATAACAGATATAATCCAACATTCAGTAAAGACCTGGCAGGTGAAATTCTGAGTAGGGGTATTGTAGCTCTAGCTCAGGTGATAATACATTTGTCTAGTATAGCTAGCTTCTAGTATTTGGGCAGCACTATGCTTGTATTAGCTGGTTGTTTCACTTTGTATGTTATTAACAGCTAGCTAATGCAAATAATTAAAATATAAACCATCTTAACATGTGTATGTTCCTGTTCTTCTTTCGGCCTGAGAGATAGGATGGGGGGGGGGGCACAGATACAGGTGTGCTCACTGGCCCTGCACAATGTTATGAGTGCAAAGAACAGGATGCAGTTTCTAGGGGCAAGTCGTAATATTGCAGAATTATATTGGACAAGATATGCTATAATATGTGTATTATTCAAGCACTTTCCAAGGCAGAAGAGAGGCTCAGAGCCTCCTCTCTTCTGATTGGCTCACCGACCTGTTGTTACTAGAGCTCCAGAGAGAAGCCTGAGAGACGAGATGTAAAACTACATTGAGATGGTTTTTGGTTCTTAAAACCACAAATATATCTTCTTATGGATCAACACTTCAAATGAGACACAGGAAAAGTTTAAAATGTGGGACCTTTAAAGAGCTTTTATTAAAAGCTACAGTGCTCAGCTATTTAAGGAAATGACTGGGCTAAAAAATGAAACTCTATATTTAAGAGGCATCTTTACGTCTTCAACACGAACCAGTGGCACAGACGGGGCAGAGAGGTCAAACGGTGTTCAGAGACAGACTAACACATTGTAAACACTCACTGCTGGACTTAGTCAATAGTAAACGTAAGAGCAGAGTGCAAGCTCCTTCTTTACTACAAGATAAATCATTTTTAAAAGAAATATTTTATGTGCAGACAAATTCAGTAACACCAAAAACTTTATTGAAACAAAGGTGGTGCGGTTTCAGGAGAGACCCCACGATGCTCCTCCTGAGTCACTTACAGCCACGTTATCACACGTTTCTTTTACGTCCTCCTGCAGATCAAAGAGAGGTGGGGATGGTGAGGAATAAGTTGGCGGTCGACCTACACGCTAACACAGAGCTACAGAGGCTTCTTATGTAACGCCTGAAGGGCAGCTGCTGCGGCTGCTTCAGAGTAACACGGTGGAGGGACGTCAACAACAGCTGTAACTTCAGCATGTCCTCACCTCACTCATCTTCTCTCTGCTCTGGAGGACAATTTGAACACCAACTACCACATAAACATTTTTTTTTATGAGGTTGAAGAGTAGGAGGAGATTCTGTAACCCTTTATTTTACTCATCCATTACACCCTAATCATTTCTTTAAGTTTTCCTGGAAAGCGCTTTATTGTTTGGTGCTAGTTTTACAGAAAAAAAGAAACCCTAGCTGCGAGACTTAGATTAACTAGTTATGTTGTGTTAGTTCAGCTTAAAATCAGGCCTGAAAAAAAAAAAACAGCTGATTCGACACCTCAGTTACAGCCCAGCCTCCCTCTCCACCGCTCAGCCGCCTAGCCTCTGTCAACAAACATGCACACACCACACCACACATGCATGAGCTCCTCTTTTTTTTCCTTTTTCTTTTCTTTTTATTGTATTATAATTAAAAGCGTGTTTATTCTACCCTCTGTTATGTGTTTGTCTATTGTTACACTTGTCTTCACTTGTTTTGTAATCACCTACTAAAGTGAGGAAGAAAAAGGAGGAAGTTGTAGAGTCCCTGTGGGAAGAACTGCTCCATTTAAACCAAATAAAACACTGTACATCATTCATTTATCATTGGGAACTGTCTTCTTCATGTATGTTGAATTGTGTGCTGGCATGAACAAAAACCGCACATTTTGTGGGTTATGGGAGCTAAGCAGTTAACTGGAATTGATTAACTGGAGGTGCACCAATTTAACATAGTCTCTGTTTTACCCACAAGTATTGACACTCACTAGTGCAAAATGTCATGATTTATTGCAGGGATTTTGCTAAAAATGGACCCATAAGCATTGCTAAGGATTTCTGTTTGTTTCCCCTTCACCAAGTAGGCAGTATAAAGTCAAATCACATCAGTGCCACAGGAACCAGAAAAATATTTTAAAAAACATTGCACATGAACAGCCCTTAAAGTGACGCTATGTAACTTTTGAAATAAGAAATAACAATATTCATGCTGACATTGCTGTTTGTTTGCTATTACACTTTTTACAAGTTTTAACTTTTTCTAGTGGCATCCATCTTTCCTTTCGTCCATCGCATTCTTTTGATGGTCAAAGGTCAAAGGTCACTGTGACTCACAAAACACATTTTTGGCCATATTGGCATAACTCACTAATTCATACACTAATTATGACACAATTTAACTCAAATGTCTCTAAGGATATAATGAAGTGATGACATTTTATATTGAAAAGGTCAAAAGTCAACTTCACTGTGACATCATAATGTTCTGCAAAAACTCTCAGGGGGAGGACAATGTGATCATACTTCCTGCAAATTGGTTGGTTGGTGGAGGCACACGACCACAAGGAGGTAAATGTAGCTTTTTTAGGTTATTTTTCAGGTTCTTTTTATGCTTTTGTTATAGCTGCAGTGAGAGAGAGAGAGAGAGAGAGAGAGAGAGAGAGGGGGGATGACATGCAGCAAAGGACCACAGGTCGGACTCAAACCCAGGCCGCTGCAGTTAGGACTAAGTCTTAATGGTACACATTCTCCCAGGTGAACCACAGAGGCGCCCCACATTTTACCATTGTCATGTAGTTGACACAGTTGGAGTTTAAGTCTCTCAATAGTCCTGCTTGTAATGGTGGTGTTCAAGGACTTCAAACATTTTTAGTTTTCACTCTGGATGAGGACATTTTCTAAATGACTCAGAACCTAAATGCATTTTCATTATGGATGCTAATTGCTCTTGTGTGAGTTTTTTCAATCCCCCTGAAGTAGAGAAAAGAGGAAAAGCTCTATTCACATGGACTGTATGATCCAGGCTTTACTGGAGAGAGAGGATGTTTCTTTACACAGCAACGTTCCTCTCCAGCAGCAGCGAACGTTTCATGTGTCAAAAAGGATGCCGTCATGTGCCCCAGGTTTAATTGAATTAGCTTGGCTTTAGACAGGAGAGTAGACGGGCCACGTGTGCTTTTGACATTACAGACGGGCAGTTTATCTGAGCGGCACCAACTGGCAGTGAAACCCAATTCTCCACACAGCCTCTACTTTTAGACCAGGAAACCAGGGGGTGAAAGGTTCAGCGGTTTTAAAGCATGAAAGGCTGGAGGCCGACAAAGCAGCAGCTAGTTAAACACGTCGCTCAAATGACCCCAGGGAACTCAGGAGCAGGGCTCTGACGTTCAGCTGCTGCTGAGGGAGAAGACGGAGAGAAACCACACGAGACACCGTGCTGTTTGTTTGGTTTGTTTTTTTTAATGGAATGTATCTTCTCAAGGTATGAAAATAGATCTCACGTTGAAATAAGAAATTGGACAGTGGCTACAAAGGGTGCAGCTAAAACTGTATGTGTAATGATGGCAACAGGAAGGTATGTCAGAAAAGCATCACACCATTTGCATTAGATAAAGGGCACAGCTATAACCCCGCGCGCGAGATGACAGCAACACAGAGGCATGTGTTGGCGGTGATACACTGGCGAGTGGGGAGAAGCAGTGGGAAACTCTTCCAGCAAACAGGAAACAACATGAGCCACAGTGAAATGAAATGTTTCCTGACAGCAAGACAACCCTCTATCATGAAATGTACAATACAGAGGCAATTTCTGAGACTGTTGCCTGTCATGTCCCACTAAATGCTGCCGCGTGTATCACCCCCTTCAGAAGCTTCACAACAATCACGTTATTTAGCCTGCTATTTCCTCATGAAAATCATTTTGTGCCCTAAAATATTGAACTTGCAGATTAGAGAGAGTTTCATGAACATTTGTCAGAGGCCGAGTTGCAGCAGAGACAGAAATACTCTGACTGGTTGCAGCAAAGGTCAGTGGAAGAGTCTGTTTTAGCTTAGTTAAGCTAATTAGCAAGCTAAATACAAAATCCACTGTATGGATGATAAAGCCAAGCTTTTGAAAAAAAAAAACAACCTTTCTGGCCTATACCATTTTGTAGCCAAGAGACATTAGAAATATTGGAGAGAGTAATTCTACGCAAAGGCTTGAGCCATTGTTTTCCAAGAGATAAGGAAGCTACAAAACCTTGCAGCATAGTGCTACAATTGGTGTTGTGGTTTCACCAGAGTCCCCAGGACCAGCACTGGGATTTGAGACAAGTTTTGCACAGTGGCCATTATAGGAACTGCATGTAATGTGACATCTACTGGCCCAGAAATACTGTATTATCCAAATTCAAGCCGTTTGGGTCTAATAAAATTAAGAACTCAGGAGGAGCTGTGCAGGAAGTCAGTCAGCTCAGCACAGAACAGCTGTGCTTTAGGTCCAAAACACATTTTCAGCTGAACTCCCTAATATAACGGGCGCCATCTTATGACATATCCAGCTCTTCTAAAGGCGCTGTCACACCAGAAAGCACCAAAGTGCAGAGATATCCACACATTTTTAGGAAATACATGGTGCTTGCACAGAAAGTTGTCAACCACTGTAGCTAGCTAGCTATAGGCTAACATGCTGTGTCTGACTTGGTAGTTTGCTAACTGTAGGTTAGGAAGCTACTTAGCGCACACTGTGACGGTTAGCCAGTTTATACTTAGCAACACAGCTAATAAGCCGTGATAGCATCTCCTGTTTTGACCAAGAAGAGACTGAAAATGTATTTCCCTTTTTGTTTCTGTTTTGTCAGGTTTAGTTTAAGGGTTTATTTTTCAGTTTCAGTCTGGTGTTAGCTTGCTGTGGTTATTTGGCTCCACTCACTAGGACTTAATACAACCAGTGAAATTGACTTTGGAGCAACTCAGCTTCTGAAAATTGTCCAATATAACAAAAACTCCACTGTGCATGTTACCTATTCACCACGACTAAGCCCTTCTCTGTTACCACAAGAAACAAACTGTGGGTAATAAACCAGTATCTTACTCAGATTTAAGACTCACAAGAAAGCAACGGATCGCTTTTGTATCTATGAATGCAGCCAAACAAAATGATGGAAAATGATTGATGAACATAATGAAAATACTAAGTTGTACTGTAATAAATCAAGCACTTAAAACAAATCATGTATCGGTCAAGCAGGCATCTCGTCATATACAGTATCTGTGGTATTTTAGTGTAGTATATTCTGTGTAACACTGCACAAGAGAGAGAAATGTAATGAAATGATTCTTTGGTTCAGTTGAAAAATGAAAACATGGACAATGAGACATATTACCAATAAAGAACTGATTCGACTAACCTACAGCAAACATCCTAGGATAATAATGAAAGCTTATTCCCAATGGACTCATGAACCTGCGAGCGAGTATTTCCTGTTCCACTCTAGCAACAACCACACTGAACATTCATCAACAACATAACATTTTTTTATATAAAAGATATATACACATCTAATAAATAAGGGATAACCAATCGCACGGTAGAATACAGCTGTTTTCTCACATGCTTTTTGTCCATCAGTCTTTTGTGAAATAAGTCTCTGTATTGAAAAAGAACGGGGTTCTGGTCTGTGGAAACCACTACATGGAAGAGGGGTTCTCCTGGAGAATGGAGCTCGATGGTGAAGCGGCAGGGGGAGATGCAGCCCGGGTCGATATTCATCCTCCAGCTGAGTGTCCAATTAACCTGCGGATGCAATCAGTTAGACAGACTGCAGACTGGTATTGCCTGACAGTGGGGGTAAAGGAAATCTCAAGTCCCCTGGAACATGGACCTCATATAACGTAACCTAAGGCTGCTTATTTCAACAGTGTGGATCTTATGATTGGATATAAATGCACACTGTCATAATGGAAAATATATTTTCCCTTTTAACTGAGAGTATGTTTTGTTTTGTTTTGTTTTGTTTTGTTTTGTTTTGTTTTGTTTTGTTTTTTACATAAAAGACAGATTAGTGGTTTATTGCTCAGTGGAGCTCAAGCAGAATTTTTGAAATTCTTCATGAGTCAAATAGTTCCTCATGAGAGTTTAAAAAACATTATGTATTCAGCTACAATTTCAGAAAACTATATTCCCCAGAGCCTGTTAAAAAATCTTCTCTACTCTAACATTCAGGTGAGATATACTGAATCTTTATTTCATTTGATCATTTTTCCTGCTTAAAATTTAAATAAAACTCAGCCTAAAATACTAGAATCAGCCTAAAAAGACGTGTTTTTTAATGTTAACTGCCCAAATTCAGCTAAAAGCCCTGAATTCTTTGAAAAAAATGCCTCAGCAGGATGGATGTGGCCAGCTCCTGCACTTTTTTGTGTTTGTTGACTTATGCCTATCATTTATTATAAGGACTAAATAATAATAATAATAAATGTACACTCATAATACATATAAAAATGCTTTGCTGGGCTGAAACCACTTTGTGACAACAGTCACCATGTGCCTCAGAGAGCCACGTGTATGGATATCCTGTTGTCAAACCAAACGCTGTCGCAGCTCATTTCACTTCACACAACCTGAGCCGGGAAAGAGGAAGTGAGCCGAGCTCCTGGAGCTGTGTGTGGTTGGACTGTGAAGCCGCACACACTTGGCTCTGCTGTGACACTTAGAGCGGAGTCTGCGCTCCAGTGCAGATTAGAGTGTCTGAGTACATTTGGAAGTCGGTGAGTGCGCACACACTCAGCAACAACAGGGGATTCTCCTAAACCGCCTTTGATATTTACGCGCAATTTCTGCGACTTTACGCTAAATTTGGGAGCCATTGACACATATTTAACAGCTTCTCAAATATTGATCTTTAACACTGAGAACTTAATCATATTCCATCATGTTCATTAATGTGAACCTAATTTTAAATAGATTCTAAACACACACAGCTCTGCACCTTTCCGGCACCGCTGCAGGCTGAATAATCAGGCGACGTGCGTAATGTAGATGTATATCTAATCATCGCCGCGCGTAAAGCCACATGCTATATTGGATATGGAGGAGCTCTCCTTGTATGAAATATCAGACCTGCCTGGGAATGTATATCCACCACATTTTCGTGGTGGTTCTCACCTCCATGCACGGGGTGTATAGACAGGCCTACAGCAGGGGCTCGCAAACTTTTCTTTATGCCCAAATAAATCCACATTTTGTGATTCTGTCTCCTCCTGGAAGAATATTCTCAGGGTTTGATCTGTGAGGGAGGACTGAGACCTATAGTGCAAAGAGATGTCCTCACTCATGGTGTAAATATCCAGGGAATAAGACAAAATCGAAAAACGCGTCCTTAATTTGCAAGGGGATCCCCAGGTGGTCCCCGGACCTGGGGAGCCCCCCTCTCTCTCGCTTTCTCTTAAGCAGTCTTACCGCTAATGGCGCACCAGTGTCCGCGGGACTCGCCGCAGGTCACGCAACGTTTGGCGAGCTGCGGACCGTCTTCTGGCCGGGCATCTGCACGACGAGCAGCTGCTGCTTCTGCCGGGTGGACTTGACGGCCAGGATCGCCTGCCGGTTCTTGTACTGGACCATCTGCAAGGTGATCTCCGCGTTCCAGCCCTCGTCCTGCGGGCACCTGAAGTCGATCTCCTTCCCCTCCATCATGACCACCGTGAAGTAGACGTACTTGCCTTTACGCTCCACGCAGTCCACCGTCTTCATGTTGGCGAAGTGCAGCTCCTTGACTTTGCCCGTGTCCCCGCCGCCGTGGTGCGGCTGGTGGTGCTGCGGGTGGTCGTGCTGCTTGGGCGGCAGCAGCAGCACGCCGTCCTCGGTCAGGACGCAGTGCTTCTTCTTCCAGAGCTGCAGCAGCCCGTCGCTCCGCTTCTCCAGCAGACCCTCCTTGAACACCTTCCTCCCGTTTTCCAGCATCTTCACCTGGACGCTTCAGGCTCCCACCCTCCTGACTGCTGCACTACACGGACGGACACAGGGACTGACGGAGGGACGGCTGTCTATCCCGGAGCAGGTGGAGGCATGAGATGCTGCTGTGACTGCGGTGGTGAGTGGTGTCGGTTGTAGTGAGGAGGCTGCCTGTCTGCCTGTCTGGCTGCTGGTCACAGTGTGTGAGGGGGGTTTAGGGGCGGGAGGGGTCTGGAGAGGTGCACCGCCCCCCTGAGTGGCAGCAGCTCCCCGAGACCATGAAAACGCTAAGAGCCAACTAACAACCACCAATTCTTTACTTAGTCACTTCATCACTTTGAATCTTTGATTCAGTATTTTTAAAGGCAGGCTTATAATATTACATTATTAGGCGACTATAATTACAAAGACATCTCTTGAGGCCATACAGCCCTGAAGTCTTTTAATTATACACTGATATAATCCAAATAAATCATATAATATTGATAGTTTCTGTATGGAAACTTGTTGAAAATGTGGCTTATGATTTACAGGGTAGGGATGATGTTCACTTCCTTCACATTGATCTGACAGCTGTATCTTAAGTGTGTGTGTGTGTGTGTGTGTGTATGTATATGTATGTATGTATATATATATATATATAGATATATATATATATATATATAGATATATATATATATATATATAGAGAGAGAGAGAGAGAGAGAGAGAGAGAGAGAGAGATCTGAATATAAAGAACATTTTGCATTGTTATGGATGAAATTCAATGCTTGCATCTCATTGTTCCTAATAATAGTTTAATATAGGCTATATATATAAAGTCGATTATCTTTAAGTATATTTTTCAGATTTCTGAACGAAACATCTGAATGAAGACTTTGGGAGTATTTCTGCTTTGTGGCAGCATTGTCATTTTCCCTGTAGTTAAATATCCAAAGGCTTCTTCCAGCACTGACGGTGATTCAGTGTTTTTAATCTGACCATGTCCTTAAAGTATTGTCGTCCTAATTTGAATTTAAGGTAAAGTCTGAACATGATCAGTTTCTTTCACTCTAAGGATTCAGGTGTTATGATCTTAATTAACACTATTTGTAATCAAAGTGTTTTGAATTCATATTATTTCAAATTTTTCATCACTATCACTGTCACCTCTACATTAGCGTATCTAATGGCTCTCGTGTTTCAGTGTTATTTGATGCGGTCAAGTTTAATTTCAGTGTAAACCACATGGAGTGTTTGCCAAGTGTATCAGAAGCACAACATCACAACAATTACGCCCTCTGCTGGCACAAGACTTTCCATAAAAGCTATTAGTCCAACCTACTCTAGCAGTGATCACCGGCTGGTAGTGTCCAGCTTGTGTAAATACTTTGGATGGATTTACATTTACAATTGTAATATCAAACAAATATAAACATTCAGGCTTCATTAAAAATAACAAAAATACATTAAGAAAAACGAGTCAAGCATATCAGACATGTTTAACCAATTTATTCATGAACATACACGTACAGTTATTGAGTACATTAGTATTTTTGTAGCATAGCATTTTGCCTTGACAACAGCTGCTCAGAAGGACCCTACAGAACCCTGTCACGTCCTTTCCCAATGAACATGATTTGAATACTCCCTGCAGAATGAGAAGTACCCTGGCTCTCCACAGCGGACACTGATGCTGCCCAACACAACCAACACTTGGCTGTTTTCACAACTAAAAAGGCATTAAGAATGGACTGGGAAGGAGGCAGGCTACGTTTCGTCTTGGTCCCCCTCCTGGCTTTAAATATTGCTCTGACATGCTTCTCTGTGGCCTTCTGGGTAACAAAGGAAGGAGGGTTTGGGGTTGGGGAGGGCAGTGGGTCATTGGCCACACAATGGCCTTATCACGCTTCCCCTCTTTCTTTCACAGTGATAAAAATGAACGGAGACCTCAGGGGCCGAGATCCACGAGAGTCACCTGACCAGTCACAAATTGGCGACACAAGAGGTAAATATCATGAACTGAAGAGAAAAAGGGGGTTTTGGTGAACCCGACACGTCGATACTTCTACATGTCAAAACCTGGTTTGGCCTTTCATCGTCATCCCCTGTGCTACATCTGCCCAACCCTGTTCCTCTCTGAAGTGTGCCTCCCTCCCCCCGGTAAGAAAGGTAACGCACTTTAACACCAGATAGCACAAGTTGAACCGTCCACAGAGCAGGATGACAGCACCATCCCGGGGGTGCGTCAAAATGCTGCTCACAAGGAATACTCAGACAGATAACCGATGAACGGACACCACTGGTACACCACACACTAGTACAAAGTGCTATAGAAACGACAGCCATGCCACTGCGAGCCTACAAGGAGCCTGAAGCACTGGATTACTGGGCCCTAAGGAGGCCCCAGAACTGGCCATCCTGTCCACCTGTCTCCTGCTCTTCCTCATCTAAAAAGGATTCTCTGGAATGTTCAAGAGACTCGACCAGGCTGCACCAAGCGCTGGGAGCGACCGATTACGTGACGAAGAAGTCAAACTTCAACAAACTTCATTTTTTGTTCAATTTAGAAAGAGTCCGTCCAGTTAGAGAGAGGTGGACTCCTTTCGAGAGAGGTACACCGATGGTGCCAGCCAGTCTGCTTACTGGAATGTATCAAGAGTGGAAAGTAGTCGAGCACAAATGGCACAGGAAGTGGCCAGAAACACCAACTCCAGAACTCATGCTCAGCAAGATTAGATAAACTGGAATGGACACCCAGCTGCCGGTCACCCATCTGTCCTCCCATCTCTATGAGCTGGAAATGCTACAGTGCTTTTAACAAGTGCTAAAGGCCCCGCTAAGAATAAAAAAAGATTCACCTGGGACAACCAGAACTTACCAACCTGGAACTTTGGTAGGAGAAAGAGGAGGAAGGGGAGGGTGGGGGGTGTTATTTATAAACTGACGTTGCCGTGATGCAGTCTAAACCACAGCTGTTGTCTAAGAGCAAATACAACAAAAGACTTCACAAGAACCCAAACTAGTTTAGCAGTGAAGAAACAAGTTCATGCTTTTTGAGGGAGATTTTTTCCTGTATTCTATCTATTTTACAGAGAAGGAGGAAGAGAAGGAAAAAACAGGTCTAGTAAAATACTATGTATATTGAGCCTCACAGCTCCCAGTATATTACCATGAGTTTTTGTAACAAAAATCTTGAAACCTTTTTTTCTTCAAATTCTCTACCAAGAAAAATACAAAACATTATAAGGCGGTAAGTAACTATTTTTTTTTTTTTAATCTTTTTTTTTTTTCTGTTTTTTAAATTTGAGAAGCTGTTACAGTGCAGTTGATCCTCAAGGCAGCCAGGCCAGGCTTCACTGCTGCTTGCACTCAGCTGGGGGGGCTGCATCCTTCTGTAAGAAATCACAGGGATGGGGAGGGGGGGGGGGGGTTGTTAAGACCATAGTTGCTCCAAAGAGAGAGACACATACCAAAATCTGATGTACACACAGCCAAGCCACTTCAAGACCTCAAACATTCAACAAGCTTCTAAAAATCTAAGTACAGTTGGCAAAGTTTCACGTCCCGACTGCGTTGAACACACAGCTAAAAAAAGACAGACCACAGATATGAACGTGATGACTGACACACTCACACTGGACAGACTGGGATCACTATGGTGTGTCCTAGTAGCACACTTATCAGTGCTATGACTACACAAGTGTTTTGGATCAACATCCTCTTAAGTGACCCATGACCTGGTAGAAATGCTACATCGGCACCTTCGGGGTACAAAGACTGAGCAGGTGTGCAAGGCGCCCCCATGGCTGAAGGATTAGGAGGCCGACCATGAAAGCAAAGTCCCCGGGGTTTAAACCCTCCTGGGACCTTTGTTTCATCTCTGTCCTTTACTGTCATCTTTCCACTATTGCTAAGGCAATGCCCCCCCCAAAAAATAATTGGACTGTGGTGGATTTTTTTTCCCCATCTTATGACAGCAGTAGCAGAGATACAGACAGGAAATGTGGGGAGGGAAGAGTACGGCAAAAAACAAGTGTCCCCTCGCTAGAGAGCGGGCAGCTATGTGGTATGAACCTTAGGTATTAGGCTCTCGGGGCCACAAACTGCAGATGTTTTTAAAAACACAAAAGACATTAAACAGAAGGACTGGGATGTAGAACAACGTCTTAGGCTGGATTCAAACCCAGGACAATGTGTTAGTGTACACACTGAGGCCAATGAGCCACCAGGGAGCTCCCAAGACAAGTTAGGATGTGGGAGTAAGCAGTCGAAACACTTCATACAGACTAATGGGGACTTTGTTGTTAAATGGCGCTCTGCTTAACCTGATATTTTGTTATAGTACAGAAATTGTTCCTGCTGACCAAAAGTTGTTTAGTTTTTTCTCCCTACGTTCTTGTGGCCATCTCTGTTTTCTTGCACTATCATAACAATGAGTGGTTTTAAGTTTTACAAGAAGCAGAAAGAAATTGTTTTTTTTCAAATCTACACCATAGACCCCAACCAACACTGGATTTTTGAGGCAGATACCAATATTTGACAGCTTGAAGAAGTTTGCTCATAATAAACTTATATTGGGACAGAGAAAAGTAAACAGGACTGTAACAGCTGACTTTATGGAGCCCTTTGAAGAGAATATATTTGAGGAGGACACAAGCTTTGAAACACAGGTACCTGCCAAAAGGTGCTTATTTCTGATGTTGCTGCTACAAGATAATAAATGTAAACACTTCAAACAACCTCAGGCCTGAAATTAATTAGCTGCCAAAAACAAAGGAAACCCTTCACTATGTAGAGAGGTAAAAAGAGCACAGAAAGATAACTAAGACCCATCACACTGAGGCATGGCGACCTTCCAGCTGATATTAGACACTTCTGGAGGTGATGGCACACTGCAGCTGTTCAGGCTGCTCTCTATGGCCTGATGCCACACTGACTGCACGATGCAAGGTCATTTTAACCATCGTGCAATACACTTGACCTTTACTGAACTCTTGAAAGTTTTAAGCCCAGAAGTACTTTACAATTTTACCTACTAGACTGAATTTTCACTGCTTCTATGCAGCATCTGTTGAAAGACTTATCTAGACTTCAGATTTTTTTCTTATTTTATCTGCTTCATGCAATCATGTTTCAAATGAAAACAGGCTGTTATTACTGAGAATTGATTCCACCC